TGCGAAATGGTGCAATGTATTTTTTTTAGCATGGTGGACAAGCGTGGTAGTACAAACTTTCCAAAATTGAAATTTGTGACTCAGGACCGATCTGTCCAATAAAAGTACGGTGATAATCGGTCACATGAAATTAAACAATTGGTCATGTCTGTGCACGTGATAATTGGCCAATCAATTTTTTTATAATATTACAATCATGTTCGAAAAATCTTTATTTACTTAATCAAAGATATCTCACGATCCAGTAGTCAGAATTTGATGAATCTTATACCATTCGATTCGTCTCAATGAGACGAATCGAATGGTATAAGATTCATCAAATCCCACCCACTGGAACGCGAGATATTAACAATATTATAATCCCTTATTCGCTTATACATTTTTAATAAAATTTTATTTTTAAGTGCGTGTATATTGTTTCTACTTAATCTATTCAATAAATATACTTTGCTAGATCGTTTCTAAATCGTTCCTATTTGTATTTTAAATTGTAGTAGTTAAAAATATTTAAAATTTAACTTATAAAATAACACGTTCATTTGTAATAAACTTTTAGATTTAAACCATATAAAAACGAGTTAACTTATCTATTTATTTTGTTTTTTGTATAAGAACTACTTCGGGTTCGTTATTGCTTTTTCTAAAAAGTATTAAAACTTAGTTTTACGCTGCTTACTTTTAGTTTTAATACCAAAAAACCTTTTTTTGTTCGAATTATGAATTCAACTACCTTTGATTTCTTATAAAACTCGCCTCTAATAAAACTTCTTGAATATTGTGATTATTTTTGATTAATTTTAATACAAGGTGGGTTATGTGGAGGTCTTTTGCTAGCTTTCTTTTTAGAACAGATTTAATTAATAGGTTTTGAAAAATCACAAGAATACGAAGTACTTTAAACTGTATAAAAAATCAAAAAAATTTTTTTATTAAATTGGCTAAGCCACAATGTCGATCATCCAAATTTGGACTTGTCCACCATGCTATTTTTTTTACATATAAAGAATGGGTTTATTCTAAATAATTTACAATTATTAAATATATATATTATTAGGTTAAAATGATAAAATGTACCAATGTAATTATAAAAATTTATATGTAACGTTAATGTTAAAAATATCCAATTAAGTAATAAAGCAATGATCAGATCAGGCAAATTCCCAATACCGCAATAGAGTACAAAAATACCAACCTTGATAATATCATTCAAATAAAATGTATTTATTCCATCCAGGTTTTAATATTAACCATTTATCGATTGGTTGAAATTTTGATTCGATATTTTTTAGCCATTTCTTTTTTGCTGAAGTTTAGACGGCCTATAAGTAAAGGCATTTGCTATATAATATACTATACATTAGGCCATACAATCTAAAATTTTAAATTTTTTTAATATATCTCCAATAAAATCCTCTATGCATATCATGTGACAAAAACAAAGTTGAATTGTTAAATTCTTGCGAAATATGCAGTTTCAGTTTTTAATCTTTTTGCATTGATCTATCATAATATAAGTACACTTGACCTCGTTAGGCCACGCAAAGTTAATTTTTCATTTTACATTACATGGAATCTGAAAATTGGGTCAGTCGGTTGGATTTTTTTTTTTTTTTAATTTGAACGTTACCAAAAGAAAACCAGACCTCGGGTTTACATGTTTTAGTTCAGTAAATTTATAAATTTAAAGACCCGAAATATAGTTTTCGCTTGGTGTCCTATTAGATAATTTTGAAAAATTAAGGTCACTGTCGGTAGACACCAGATAAAAAAGATGAAAAAAATAAATAGCAAAAATGGAATAATTAACGTAATTGAAACTCAAAAAAAAAAAAAATAGGGATTTTGAAAATTTTGGTTTTTTTTTTTTTGGTTTTAAGGTGACCTCTTTGCCACGCTGCTCTTTATTTGAATATTAGTAGTATTTTTAACCGTCAGACATATCTGACGGCTGTACATATTTGTAGAGTACAACTAGCCATACCTGCACCTTTTGAGCGCCTATTTAAGTAGTCTGCCTATCACTAAGTTCTACACTAGATGCTGTACCTGCACCCCGCTAGGGGGGTTATCCATTTAAACCCTCTACGCCTATGTACCAACTCTTTTTTATCCAAGCGATGATACTTAGTACCACCTTATTTTCACATACTGGCTTAGGGCTTTAAAGCAGACTTAACCATTTTAGGGAGTTCTTTGACCTCAAGGTAAACCTGCTAGAGCCTTCCATACCCACATTTAGGCTGACCTAGACTTACAATAACTTATACTGAGTCCGAGAACAAGTACTTGCGAGCCGAAGCCACTACTATTACCTACTACTACCCTTGTAGAGTTCACACTAGACCCCAGTACACACTATACAGATGTCATCCTCCCCCTGACTTCCCTAAACTTCCAATCCAGATAGCCCGGAAGGGCTGTGACCTGCCCCTGGTACTCACGGTTGGGTCCTTTTTCCCCGGTTACTCTTCCGGTGGCCTGATTAGTAGAGTGTCTTGCCAAACACTTCGGTCCCGTTCAGTTTATCAGTTTTTTAGCTGGTTATCCTTTACGCAGTACCATCAAAGACTTGTGCTACCTCTCTATTCAAGATTTGCCAAGCGGGCTTCCGTATGCCCCGAATTTTAAAAAATTTGGGTCGGCAGGTAATGCTAAATGAAAAAGCAACTTTGCATAGCTAATCTCCTAATCTCTAACCTTATTCAAATGCTAACCCTAACATATTGCACTTTGAAAATTTTAACTGTGTCACAATAATCGACAAAACCTGGTACAGAATTTTTCATGCCAATTTATACATTTAGTTATGTTTTTGAAGACATCTGAAGGCAAATCAATTTAAAAATTTTTATCATAAATTTCATTAAGAAAATATTCTTTTATGGTAGAATGCCACTAAAAAACAATAAGATTAGATAAATTTTAGTGTGAAATCAATCAAGATTTGAGTAAATTTCAGTGCAAAAGTCAATAAGATTCAGATAAATTTCGACGTGAAAATCTATTGTATAAAAAATTTTAGGTGGTTTGTGATTTGCACATTACCTGAAATTATTAACCAATAAACACAAAATTTCAGAACACAATAAACTTAATTATCTCAAAATCATATTTTTTCCTAGCATGGATGAGTGAAATAAAAACATTTTCTATTAGCTATAAATTAAAAATAGCTTTGATTAGTAAAAGTTTATATCGCAGTTAAAACTATCCAAAATTATAGTTAATACAATTTACGTATTTAGTTGGGTTTTTGAAGAATTGCGAAGACAAATCAGTTTAAAAATTTTTATAATAAATTTTATTAAGAAAAATTTTTTTGCAAACTGCTCTTGAAAATTAATAAAAGATTTGAGTAAATTTTGGCACAAAAATCATCAAGACTTGGTTCGGCACAAAAATACCCTGAATATTAACCAATAAACACAAATTTTCAGACATGATAACTTGATTATCTCAAAATCATATTTTTTTGACTCTTTCAACTACAAAACCCTATACTTTATGCTGTTTTTTAATTGTATTTTTTATTTAGCTAATAATTATGATTTTAGTGGTTATACTAAGTGAATTAAGTGTAACAATTGAAAATCAGATTCTTGCAAGTTTATACAGAACAAACTGGTGGAAGAGCTTTTTCATTGCATTGCATTATGTACTGTGTGTCATAATTGTCTTTTAAACAGGCAAAAAACCAAGTTTAATAATAATAAAGCAATGCCTCGAACACTACAAGAAACAAATAGCAAGGGCGGGAGCCCCTGTGAGAAGAAAAAGAAAGCTTGCAGACGTAGAAATAGAAAATCTACAAGGAAAAAGAACCAAAACTCATGAGACCAGGTCAAAAAACACAGCTAGAAAAGCTGCAACAACCTTAACTGAAAGAATGGATGAAAACTTAGAACACACTTCAATACAAGAGTTAGACTCAAATACTCTGAACACAACACCAACGAACTGAGCAGAATCTCTAGGAAAAGAACAGACAATAAGGGACATGCCAGGCACAATTAACAGAACCAAAGGCCTCCTCTCAAACACTTTAGACATGACTTGCGACGTAACAGCGTTGAAAGTGGAACTTTCTAGAAAGAGTCAGATGATACTACACATGCACACAGGGAAGATCAAGCTGAAGTGAGTAACACAAGCATAGTAACAGAAAATAAGAAAGAACCTAAGCATTAAACCAAAAAACAGTGGTCCAGTCTCTTCATTAAATTGAGAAGAGGAAAGACAACTTATTCTACATTCTCTTCTAGGAGCAAAATACATACAAAGAATGACAATGTGTTAATATTTGACATACAAAATCTAAGCAAATTCTTGATTAACAAAATTATTGCCAGCATGTATGCAAAAATAAGTAATGACTTCGTAACAGCAAAATCCCACTTCACTAAGGGAGTTTGCACACATCTGAAAATAGTCTTTACCAATGAGAACAAACAAAAATACTATGCAGCAGAAGGCATAACAATCTTTAAACTAACTATATTTGGTTACATTCCTATAAACTTGAAGAGAAGTTAATTACTTATTAAGCTCAGGAACATACCTATGGAGCACAAAAAATCTATCTTCAAACAAATTAGGGAAGTGTTTGAGGATGTGGATATAATAACTTCTATTAAACCACTAGTTTATAAAGGAACCCCCATTAGCTCAAATCAATAGATAGTTATATTTGAGACAACAAACGATCTGAATCTTATAAAAAGAATGCCAAGATATATGCACATATATGATCAAAAGGTACTAATAAAATGGAGAGAAGCGCCAAAATTGTTTTTATTGTGACGAAGTCAGGTACATTAAACAGGACTGTCCTGAATACAAAATGTTAATTAAGCTTGGCAACTTCAAAAAAACACAAAGAGGAGTGCATGAGGCAACAAAACTCGGTAAGGGAATAAGTCACTCTTAGCAATAATAACCCTTATACAGAAAATAGGGTATCAAGGATAGAAGAAACCTTCCTTGAACACAACTTGCATGTAGATCAAACTTTTAATGAAATAAATGTAGATGGCAATGCACAATCTGAAGAAAGAATAGAGATAGAAGCAACTTCAGCATCTATAAATGAGAACAATACTGAAGACATGAGTATGCTGGGAGCAAGCACAGAGAAAGAGACAGTTCAACAGATAAACATATAAACATTAAATTTGAAGCAATGAATTGCACAAGCAATAGTAGGAATGAAATGATAGATGATTAAGAAACTGCGCAAGAGCTTGATGATAACAGTTTTACAGTAGTTTTCATGAAAAAGAAAAAAGGCAAGAATGTAGTAACTAATATTGAAAGGCACAGTCTGTATAAAAAGTCAAAAAGAAATAAGATTCAACAAATCTCTTTCACCAAATCAAATCAGATTTAATGAATTGTGTACTAAAAATAGCCACACTTAATGTGAAAGGTCTAAACAATAGGCACAAGCAGCAGAAAACATTAATATTACTTAAGTCATATCAATTTAATATTATAATGCTACAAGAGACTAATCTTAATGATAAAAAGCTAAAAAAATTTATTGCCCAATAGTGGGTGCATGATTTATATTAGACAACAAATCAGCCATCTTGGGGGTAGAAGAGATATAATATTCGAGAATGTTGAAGAAGCCTATGATGGAAGAGTAATCACAGCAAACTTCAAATTCAAGTATAGACTATTTAGAATTGCAAACATTTACGCACCCCAAACATTGTGAAAAGAACCATATTTCTAAACAATTGGGTCTTCATAATAGATAAAGAAGCCATTAATATAATAGCAGGTGACTTTAATATCAATCTCAACTCACCAGTCAACAGAATTAGTCAAGCGGAAGCACATAGTGACCCTACAAAAGCTAAACTTCAAGAAATTCTGAAGATTTCACTGATACAGCAGAATTGGCAACAAATAAGCCTTTTTTAACCTTTTTCTAAACAATACGCAGTAACCACACCATGACAACTAGGTTGGATTATATCTTTGTTGAAGACAATTACATACAGTTCTATTAAAATGTAAAAACACAATTTGGGAACTCAGACCATCTTCTTGTCAAATGTATTTTCAACCTCACACCTTCAACTGACAAATCGGCCCACTGGAAATTCAATAAAAGATGCTAGAGGAATGAAAATCTGAAAAGAAATATCATTGAAGAAATATAAAGCTGCCAAAAAGTAGAAAATTGAAACTATCTAAAGTGCTGTGTTCAATCTATAATCAGAGCATATAGGCATCCTGCTACTCCAAAAAATCAAATACAAAAATTAAATAAAAAAGTCACTAAGCTAAAACTGAAAATAGCAGCAAACTCAAACCATGAAGACTTAAATATCATGGTAGAATGATTATCATCCTAACTATAGGATGAATTAGATGCATTAGCAAATAAATGGCAAATAAGATCGGAAGCAAAGTGGGTCAAAAAGTGAGAATGTTTGACAAAATATTTTTTCTTCTGATATAAAATAAGACATACTGTGCTGGCTATGTCTAAAATTCTTATTCAGATGACTCAACTGAGGTGGAATCAAATAAGATCCTACAGTACATTAAAAGTACATATAAAGAAATTTATATAGAAGAGAACTTCGATCCAGAAGCCACAGAAGAGTTAACTTCCAACCTGCCTCAAATCTCAAGAAAGTATAACTTAGCACTGCTCAAAAAGATCACAAAAGAAGAAATCGAATCCATAATAAAGAGCTTACCAAATAATAAGGCCCTGGGTCAGATGGCTTTACATAAGAATTCTACAAGAAAATTGAGGAAGAAATTGTGCCAGTACTTGAAAAACTGTTCAATGAAGTCATTGATGGTGGAATAATGCCCAGATTATAGACCAAAAACATAATATCGCTCATATCAAAAAAGTCAGAAAGTCTTAAAGAAGTGGGCAATTAGAACCCAATTTTTCTTATTAATTGCTACTATAAAATATTCATGAAAATTCTAGCAGCAAGACTCAATATGATTTGTCACAGTGTAGTAGGCAACTACCAACAAGGCTTTATAGCAGGTAGGTCTATAACAGATGCTGCCATGGACGTCATTTCTACAATGAGAGATCAGAAAGATCAAACAAAACAGCACTGGTTATTATTTATAGATCAGCAGAAAGCATTCGATAGGGTCAACCATCATTTTATAGAACTGATATTAGAAAAAATAAACTTTGAAGCAAAATTCATGAATATAATCAAAAATCTTTTTTCAGAACAAAGAGCCCACATAACTGACACGAGGCTTTTATCAGAATTATTCAAAATTAGTAAAGGGGTTCGTCAAGGGAACCCTCTATTACCTCTGCTATACATTATAGTTTTCGAAATATTTTTGCGCACATTAAATAAAAATTTAAGAGAAATACAGATATAGAATCAAAACTTTAAAACAGCGGTATATGCTGATGACTTAATAGTAGGATTAGGCTTGCATACAGACTGGGCTATTTTCTCTGAACTGGTCAAAAAATTTGAAAAAGCCTTAAATGCAAAGATAAATTGCCAAAATCGATGCTAGTGCCTCTTACCTGCAATGCGAAATGGACAGAACTTAAAGGAGGGGAACTCTTTAAAAAACTAGAAGAAAATGAGAATATATCAGTATTGGGATACTCAATAATATCAAAAGGCAAATAGATAATAGGATGTGGCCAAATATGATAAAAAAAATTAACAAATTAATTTCTTCAAGAAATCTTTCCTTCAGTGGAAAAATTTTAATAGCCAAATCCCTATTGCTCTCACATATATGGTATACTGCATACATTTTACCACCTAATAAAAAACAAATTAAGGAGTTAAATAATATAATTTCAAACTAGATTAAAGATAAATCTAAAATGCTTCCAAGGTTCTCAATATTTCAACAAGAATACAATGTGGGTGGACTAAAGACTCCTGTGATCGAGCACATGCTGGAAGCAAGGTTAATGACCATCTTGATCAAACTTATAACTAGAGACAATTTATGGTCAAAGGTAGAACGATCTCTAATCTCGAATAGCTTAAAAACCAAATGCAACATATGCGTTAAAGATGCGTTAAATGATATATTACTTAGTTTGAAAGGATGGCTGGAAGAATGGAAAATCTATGTGAAGGCTTGGAAAAAATTAGAAGAAAAGGTGAACACAAGTTCAGACAGGTGGCTATGGCCTCCGCAAAAATAAAGATAGCACAAATAAAAGGTGAAGAATATTTGGTTAAAAAAGCCACAGATTTTTTAAGAGGCAAATTTCTGAAGCCAACATTAACCCTTTTAAACCAAGGAGAGAATGTTATGATGAGTAACTCCTGGAAGTGGCATGGTATAAGATGGGCAGAAAATAAAAAAATAGATATCTATTGGCAGCTGACACACAGGGCTCTGCTCTTGAGATATAGGTTAGTTTACATATCAAAAACTAAGAATAGAGAGTGCCCATACTACCAGAGAACTTTACAGACATTAGAACACTTTGTAGTAAGATGCAACTTGAGCAGAAAAATATGAAACATTTTATACTCCAGAATTTCAGTGCAAAAGAATATTTCTCTGCCAAATTCATTAGAAGAAGTATTACAACTTAGCAAATTAGCAAATAACAAACTCAGACCTTTAATAAGATAGTTATACATTTTTGAGATCTATGAAATTTGGCTATATTACATGCAATCCAAGTAGAGCTTTCCCCAATCCCAGAGCTATTATTCCTTTTGTTACTAGAAACCGATTAACTAAAGCTCTTTGTACTTTGAGAAACACAGGCCATACTAATAACAAAGAGAAAAAAAGCATTCTTGAACACCTAAACTTGTAATATAAATTAATGTATAATTAGTTAATATTAATAAAGTACACCTATTTGGCACCCTAAGGTAAATAATGTTAGGAAATATTAAAAAAAAAAAAAAAGTGTAACAATTGTATATAAATAGATTTTTTTCTTGAAATAAATTAAATGAATTCAGTTCAAAACACCTATTATGAATGTTAATAAAATTCGTTTCATTAAGGTTAAGTATATATGCTTTTAATTACGCATTATACAGTATATTGCTGAATTAGTATTTGGCAATATACTTGACCCTCGTTAATATCAACCTATTTGGATTGGGCAATTATGTTGATATATATGAGAGTTGATGATAGTTTTAATATACCCTGAGTCTATTTTGTCTTAATCAGAGGTTAATATTAAAGGGAGGTTGATATTAACGAGGTTGACATTAAGGCTACACAAAGTTGATTTTTCATTTTGCATTAACTGCCAACCCATTTTTTTAAATTTTTTTTTTTTTTAAGCCTCAATTGTGCAAAAACATTGTTTTTGATCTATCTGATCTATCTTTTTTGACCCAGCTCATAAAAAAAAAAAAAAATGCATATCGTTTTTGACTCATGCATATAGCACAATACTATATTCAGTCTTTTATTAAAATGATGCGTGACCAAAATCACTACTATATCGTTAGAATTAGAATTACGGCATAATTAGTCTGCAATAAATTGAAATTACTGCGTAATTAGATTGTAATAAACTGAAAGTATATTGATGTTTAGTGTAATTAATCTGTAATCAATATAATATTAAATTTATGAAGTAAAATTATGTAATAATAAATTTTTATATAAAAGGCAAAACATATCCAAAAACTCTTTCTGCTGATCTGTAATTTTTAATCGGTCAAAACCAAAATCAACAATTATTTCTAAATCTAGTATAAGAAACAAGGTATCTAGTACTAAGTGAAAAGAGAGAGCACTTAAAATAACCTATAGTTTATTAGAAGAAGCTTGTACCCAAGACCTTTGGTTTAGCGACAATAAACTTTTTAGAAATTTTTAGAAAATTTTTGAAAAATTTTGGGAAATTTGCTTAGACCTTGAAAATCTGATCTTAAAACACGTAAACAATAACAAAACAACAAACACGTAAGATCTGAAGAATAAACAAACAAACAAACAGCAGATCGCATTACTATTTTTAGAATTAACGGAAAAAC